TAACAAAGTACTTATGTTTACTTCTTGCAAGCTTCAAAATCAGTTGAGATTGCGAATTTTCAAAATCCTCTAGCAAGATCGGCTATATATCCTGCAGGAACAAGTACAAAATTAAAATGCAAGATCTCAGTTCCTCAAAAAGCTATACATAGTATTATTACCATCTGATCCAGAAATTCCACTCCTAGGTATATAGCCAGAAGAACTGAAAGCAGGGACTTGAACAGATACTTATATGCCAATGTTCATTGCAGCATTGTTTACAACAGCTAAAAGATAAAAGCAACCCAAGTGTCCATCAACAGATGAATAGATAAACAAGATGTGGTACATGCCTGCAATGAAATTTTATATAGTCATAAAAAGGAACAAAGTTCTAATACATACTACAACATGGATAACCCTTAAAAACATTACGCTAAATAAAACAAGCCAGATGCAAAAGGACAAATAATGTATGATTCCATTTATACGAAATATCTGGTATAAGCAAATTTATAGAGGCAGAAAGTGGAAGAGAGATTACTAGGGGCTAGGACTGGAGGGAATGGGGAATGATTGTTTAATGGGTACTCAGTTTCTGCTTGGGGTGATAAAAAGGTTTTGGAAATAGTGGTTTCGGTTGTACGATATTACAAATTATTATCAGTGGATTAACTTGAAAATGGTTAAAATGGTAAATTTTGTCACATATGTATTTTACCATAATTAAAAAATAATAAAGTAATATCTAAAAAAACACCAAATTGTACAGTTTAAATATATGGATTGCATGGTATGTGAATTATACCTCAATAAAGCTGTTAAGAAAGAAAAGAAAGATGCTCTCACCACTCTTATTCGGTACAGTGTTGGAAGTCCCAGCTACAGCAATCAGGCAAGAGAAAGAAATAAAAGGTATCCGAATTGAGAATGGAGAAGTCGAATTATCACTTTTTGCAGATGACATGATTCTCTATATAGAAAACTCTAAAGACTCCACACACACCAAAAAAAAAAAAAAACCACAAACAAACAAAAAAACTATTAGAAACAATAAACAAATACGGTAAAGTTGCAGGATAAAAAAATAATCGATGTACAAAAATCCAGTGTTCTTATACAATAACAATTAAATTTCAGAAAAAGAAATTTAAAAAAACAATTTCTTTTGTAATTGCAACAAGAAGAATGAAATACCTAGGAATAAACTTTACAAAGCATGTGAAGGACCCATACACTGAAAACTATAAGACATTATTAAAAGAAATTGAAGGTGTTCATGGACTGGAAGAATCAACATAGTTTAAGTGGTCATATTACGCAAAGTAATATACAGATTTAATGCAGTCCTCATCAAAATCCCAATGGGATTTTTTAAAGAAATAGCCAAAGCAATGCTGAGAAAAAAGGACAAAGCCAGAGGTAACACACTGCCTGACTTCAAATTATACTACAAGACGACAATAAACAAAACAGGTTGGTCTTGGCAGAAAAATAGATACACGGACCAATGGAACAGAATTAAGAGCCCAGAAATCAATCCGTGTATACACAGGCAAATAATTTTTGACAAAGGAGACCAAAACAAACAATGAAGAAAAAAAACCTCTTCAATAAATGGTGCTAAGAAAATGGAGAGCCACATGCAAAAGAATGAAACTAGATTGCTATCTGTCATCATACACCTAAGTTAACTAAAAATGGATCAAAGACCTAAATATAAGACCTGAAACAATAAATGAAATGGAAGAAAACAGGTACTAAACTCATGGACCTTGGATTTAGAGAAGATTTTATGAATTTGACCTCAAAAGCAAGGTAAGTAAAAGTAAAAATAAATGAATGGGACTATATCAAACTACGAGATTCTGCACGAAAAATGAAACCAACAACAAAACAAAGAGACAACCAAATGAATGGGAGAAGATATTTGCAAACAGCACCTCCTATAAGGGCCTAATATCCAAAATATACAATAAAGTTATACAACTCAACAACAAAAAAAACAAACGATCCAATTAAAAAATGAGCAGAGGACCTGAACAGACACTTCTCCCAAGAAGACATACAAATGGCCAACAGATGTATGAAAAGATGCTCAACTCCACGAGCTATTAGGGAAATACAAATCAAAACCACACCTGTAAGAATGGCTGTCATCAACAGGACAAGTAATATCAAGTGTTAGAGATGTCGTAGGGGAAAAAGGAACCCTCATCCACTGCTGGTGGGACTGCAAATTGGTACAGCCACTATGGAAAACAGTAGGGAGGTTCCTCAAAAAATGGAGAATATAATTATCATATAACCAAGCATCCCCTCTTCTAATTATCTACCCCAAAATTTTGAAAACATTTACCCATAAAGATATATGCACCCCAATGTTCATTGAAGCATTATTCTCGGTGGCCAAGACATGGAAATAACCAAAATGCCCTTCGATAGATGATTGGATAAAGATGTGGAACTCATATACAGTGGAATATCACTCGGCCATAAGAAAAGATGAAATACTGCCATTTGTGACAACATAGGTGGATCTTGAGACTGTCATGCTAAGTCAGACAGAAAAAGCTGAGAACTATATGATTTCGCTCATATGGGGGCTATAAAACTGAAAGCAACAAATGAACAAGACAAACAAACAGAGACTCATGGGCACAGACAACAGTTTAGTGGTTACCGGGGGAAGGGAGAGAGGGGGGAGGAAGGTAAGGGTAAAGGGGATCAAATATAAAGTAATGGAAGGAAACTTAACTTTGGGTGGTGAACACACAATGAAATATACATATGACGTATTATAAAACTGTACACTTGAAACCTATATAATTTTATGAACCAATGTCACCCCAATAAATTTCGTAACAGTAATATAAATAAACAACAAAACTGTGAATAAAAGGAAAGAAAGAAGGGAAAAAAGCGATGGCATCTGGGGAAACTGAATGGTTACAAGACAGATAAGAGATTTTTCACTATATGTCTTTTTGTACCTTTTTAACTTTGTACTGTGTTGTACGTTTTATGTGTTAAAAAGTAAATTACATATTTTTGAAATAAAAACATGCAAGGTCCCTTGTCTGAAAACCAAGAATTTGAAGACATTGACCGCAGAGCATTAAATCAAGTGCGGGGCCCTTCTGAGTGTGGGCTCCAGTGTGACGGGAGAGATTGCATGCCGTGAAGCCAGCCCTGTCCCATAGCACCAAGAATCCTTGCCTCTATATTTTCTGGCTAAAAGCTATAATTCCAAAAAAAAAAAAATCACAAATTCAGGTCAATAAAAAATACCAATAGACATTTTGCTTATTTCTCTTTTTCATTCCCATTGGGGCAACGGAAGGGAGTGGATCGCAACATTGTCCATGCTGGAGCTTTGGTCACCTCTGCTGCCCTCGCCCCTGTCACTGTCACTACGGAGTGTCTCAAAGGAGTAGTGCAGGCCTCCGCAGTGCAGAGGGGGGACCCACAGCCCCTCCCGACCCAGGTTTCCTTGGAAATCACTCTCAGTAAGAGAGCACATGCTGGGTGCCCACAGTGCGGCCTGTGCTAGGGCCTATATCTTGTGCAGACCTCACCTCTGCTTAGTTTGCAGTTGAGGAAACTGAGGTCTGAGGTCACACAGAATAGGAACCTGAAGATCCCCATGGGAAAGGCTGGCCCAGGCCAGCAGGGCTCATAAAGGAGTAGAAGAGGCAGGGTGACAGGACATTTGCACCTTCTTGGGATCCTGACTCCAGGGCTTGCTGGACAGGACTGGCCACCTATCTAGTGGTGGCGACCTACAAGGTCGCCTTTGCAGGCCCTGGTTTATCAAAATCTCCCCATTTCACAGGAGATACTAGAAAGTCACATTTTGGCAAGGGGCTCTGCACAAGGTCTTCCAGCGTTGGCTCACATTGAAACAAATGTACCTGAAGCCCAGCCCAGCCCAGCCCAGCCCAGCCCACAGGCCACAGCTGGTGGTTTCCCCCGCCCCATTGCCTTCCTCCTTCCCTTCCTCCCTCTCCAGCCTCCTTCTGGCATTCATGACCAAGTTGGAGATGCCCCATATGGATACGGGCTCACAAGCTGAAGGCGTGCAGGCCGAATGCAGGAGGGCGTGGCTGGGGATCCCACCCCCCTCCCTGCTGCAGCATGCTGCCAGGCCTCCCAGGGCCCCTCCTCACTTGGCGATGGTGAGCAGTGTGGCCTGGGATGTAACATCCCAGATCTTGATGCTCCTGTCCAGCGAGACGGAAGCCACCTTCTGGCTGTCCGGGTCAAAGCAGCAGGCTGTGACCGACCTTTTGTGATGATCTGAGGCACAGGGAAAGTGACTCTTTACACAGGTTCCATATTCAGGGCCACACGCTTCACATGACCCAGAGGCTCACACTTCTCCCCCGGACAGTGACGATATTTTGAAAACACAATTCTGGTTTTCACTAAGGACTATTTATTTACTCACAAGAACATTCTTGAGTGCCTACCATGTGCCAAGCTTTGAAGAAGGGGCACAGCTGAACCACTTCCTGTCCCCACAGAGCTCCCAGTTTGTAGGCTGATGGGGATTCACCTGTGAGAGGGCCACGACCCCACAGCATGTCAGGGGCCGTAAGAGGAGGGTGAGGTACATCACCGCCAGCCGGCAGAAGCCTAGCCCAGCCGGGCACAGCCCTGAGAGGTTGAAAAAGGGCCCCAAAATTTAACGAGGAAAGCAGAACAGGAAGAATGCTCCGGGCAGAATGAAGCATGTACAATGGCTTGGAGGTGGGAAGGGACACGGAGAAGCGCTAGAGCGGCTAGAAGTTGGAGAGCGAGGAGAGGTAGGGTAGAAGGTGAGACATTAAGGGAAATATGCCAGCTGTGGGGCACTGCATACACTGTAGCCCCATATTGATAAAAATAAGCCCACAGTGCATGTGGGAAGTGGCATTGTGTGTTTGCGCACATGCACACACACACACACACACACACACACACGCCCCTCAGAAAGGCCTCCCAGCAAAGGACAGGTACAGCAGCCAACACACACATACACACACAACACACACACACACACACCTCAGAAAGGCCTCCCAGCAAAGGACAGATACAGCAGGCTTTCACTTTTGACTTTACACACCTACCGATTTTTTTTTTTTTTACTAAGATCATGTTTTTTTTTCAATTTTTATTTTGAGATAAGTGTTAACTGACATGCGTTGTAAGGATAACATGGAGAGATCCTGTATGCCCAGTTTCCCACAGTGGTAGCGTCTTGCTTAATGGTAGTATAATAGATAATGATTATTGTTTTTATATTTTAAACATACAGATAAAAATGAAGGCTGAGCCTCCACTCAATAGAAGACTGGGCTTTAAATATCTGAGTGACGTGGAGCAGAACATTGTTTCATTTATTACAAGCATGAGACTGAATGAAAGAGTTTAAATGATGAGGACCAGTCTTGGTTTTGACTGTCAGAGTTTTATCAATTAGTATTCCATCTTTAATGATGTGGCTCGGACGATTACAGTTTCACCAAATAAAGCAATCAAAAGTTATGGTCTGTCAAGTGACAAGCAGCTGTTACCATGGCAGACGGAACAGAGCAGGGAGACTGTGCAAACTCACCTCTGACGTATGACACAGTCTTGGCATTTTCTGCATCTATCAAACAGATTCCGCAATCCACATCCAAGCCAGAGACCACATATTTACCATCAGGAGAAAACTTACAGGAGGATATGAAGCTTTCATGGCTGATCTTCCACTGAAATAGGGCAATAATCAAAGGTTGTGTTCTCTCTAGCCCAGCTGTCCAGTTGAACTTTCCATAATATTGAAAATGTCCCATCTATATGCTGCCCAATATGCCAGCCCCTGGCCACACGTGGCCATTGGGCACTTATAATGGGCTAGTGCAAATAAGAAACTGAATTTTTAAGTTTGTTGGGTCTTAATTAATTTTTTTAAAATTAATAACTGTAATTAATTAATCTGCATCCAGGACAATGAACAAGGATAGGGAGAACACCCAACAGAACTGGCAGTAAGGTTCTAGTAATGACCAACTTTATTCATTTCGGTAAACAAGTGGTTATTGCCTGGCACCATGCATGAGACAGCCTCAATCCCTCAGGCAGCTCACAGTCCCCTGGAGGAAGGCTGGAAACAAACCACAAGGAGGGGACAATGAGCTGCTCAACATTCTAGAAAAGGAGGAGCTGTCTGCATGTTATAAATTATGGTATTGCCATTATGACAGTTTTAAAATATGCCCACCAATTCTTTGACAGTCCTTCCTCCAAAATGTTGAGCCTAATTTCCTACCCCTTGAATGTGGGCTGGACTTAGCAATTCACGTCTAATGAATAGAAAATGGCAGAAGTAACAGTGTGTTACTAGCTCATAAAAGAAAGCATGGTTTTCTTTTTGCTCTCTCTTGGATCACTTGCTCTGACGGGGAACTAACTGCCATATCCCGAGGACACAGAGAGGAACCGAGGCCTCCCATCAACCGCCAGATGAGTACACCATCTTGGAAGGGGATCCTTCAGCCCCATTTGAGCCGTCAGATGACTATAACTCCAGGGGACATTTTAACTGTGACCTCACAAGAGACCTGGGCCAGAACCACTCAGCTAAGCTGCTCCTAGATTTCTGACAGTCAGAAACTGTGTAAGATAATAAATGTATGTTGTTTGAAGTTGCTAAGATTTGGAGTAATTTGTCAAGTAGCAGTGGATAATTAATTCAGCCCTATGGTTGCAAGTGGCATGAATGACTTGTGCAACAAAAATAAATCAAAGTACTAAAATAAATTTCTTACAAAGAAAGAAAGCATCCCAAATAGAAAAACTGGCTAGAAACAAGAGCAGAAAATTTAAGAGAAGAAATAAACTTTGGGAAAAATGCTCAAAGTCAAGCATAATCAATGCTAGTCTCATTTTTCACCTACAAAATTGGCTAACAAAATATTTTGAATTATGATATCTGGCATGGGAGAGTAGAAAATGATGGGCTCTCCTCCAGTGCTCAGGCACAGATTTCTGGAGGGCAATTTAAAAAGCACCATGTTTCTATACCAAATTAGCAATAAAATCCAGCAACATATCCAAAAATACTGAAGCATATATATATATAAAATTATATGCAAACTTTCCTCATTGTTTCATTGTTCGTAATAGAGAAAAGTGAAAATAGCCTTAATGTCCGATAACAGAGAATAGCGAAATATGGCTTGACCTATCCATCCTGTGAAATCCACGTGTCCTTTTAAAAAGATGATGGTGATGAGTATGTACTCACCATTTATTGTTAAGTTGGAGGAAAAGTCAGGGTCCAGGAAGTACGAATAAATAACACTATGTCGTTAACAGAACACATTTGCCTGTGTTCCTATGTACACGTGTTAAACACAGGTTTTTTTTGAGACAGCAAGGCGTTAACTACAATCTCTGGAGGGTGCTTTGAGGCCTTCATTTTGTTGTTTTAATCTCATCTTTCTAAAAATGTTTTACAATGAGTCTGCACTGATCTTTGCACTAAGAAAACGGTTGCTTGTTTAAGGAGCGAAAAGAGGAAGAAGGGAGAGGAGGGGCAACGCAGAGCTGCTGGGGGAAGGGCAGTGGGGATAGGCCAGGAGACCCTGAAGAGGTGTCTGAGTGGGGCTGGGGCTGCCTGGGCTGGGGGCGCGGGAGGGAGAGGGTCTCCAGGCGGTTTGGAGATGGAGAACAGATTGGGAAGGGCCCAGAACCCTCATGCTTTGGTCACGTGGCCTTTGTCCCATGGCCTCAGCACTAATCTGCTTCATCTCGAATCCAAACGCCCCACAGAAAAGGGGATCTTTCCCTCAGCCTGAAATTCCACGT